CATCTCGTATTCTAGGGCTATATTTATGAATGTATATTCTTTCTCTAGGATCCGGTTTAAGTGATTGCAAATCAAACTTATCTATAAAATGTAAAAAATTGTGTGTAAAACTTGATTGAGAAGAATTATGTTTCTTCAAAATCTATCCATTTCAAATCACAAGAATCAACAATAAATTCCTACAAAACAAAGATTTAATCAAGAATGTAAGTAAATATTACATTGTTGATAGGGGAATGACACCCCTCAAGCCCTCCTTTCGCAATACAACAAAAATAAAATATAGTAGAGAAATCACACCGCTCACAAAATAAATAAATTAAAATAAGTAAATAAACATGATTGTTTCAACAAGATATTGAAAAATCAGACCCTTTATAGAACAACAAAAATAATATATAATGGAGAAATGGCACTACTCCTTTCATAAGATGATAAAAATATAAACTTATAAATAAACACAACATTTTTAATAAGGGAATCACACCTCTTCTTTCATTGCAAAAAAAAAATACGCTTAAAAAGAAGAACTTACCAATTTATGCAGTGACAATAGGACTTCAGTTATGCAGGTTGTAGTGAAGAATACTTGTGAGTTATAAGTTCGTAGGTTTTCTAGAAGTCTTATGTTTTACTTAGAATTGTGTTAGGACTTTTATTTGTTTTTAATTTCAATGAAGAAAGGGGTGGGGCCAGATGAGATAGTAAAATACGGGTGGGGCCAAATGAGGTGGCAAAAATGAGTGGTTAATAAAGGCTATTGTTAAAAAGGTTAACTGGTAAGAAAGGACTGATTTTAAAGGCAAAAAATATACATCCCTTCGCAAAATTCAAACTCACATCGTTGAGTTTTAAAGTTAAGCGTTCAACCAGTGCACCCAAATGACTTTTGTTCATTTGGGTGTTCAATTAAATATATTATCTTTTTATAGACTATCTATACATATATATAAAAAAAAATTAAAAGTTGTCGGGTGCACGTGCACCCTCACGACTGCATGTGGGTCAGCCTCTAATTACAAGAGTATAACTAGTTCATGCCAAGAGTAGTATCCAAATCAGGCATGTCTAACTCTACTAGATCTACTATGGTGACTTTCTGGGAAAAATGAGACTGGCAATTTCTGTATACCCTTTTAGCTAAGACTGAGTCACCAACAGGGGTTGAGACTGAGAAGAGTTCTGATAGGATTTTTGGACTCACCAACAGGGGTTGAGACTGAGAAGAGTTCTGATAGGATTTTTGGACTGACATCACAATTCAATGCAATATAAAGACTCATGAAAGGAAGTGTGGCCCGTAGATCTAGTAATGCATACATCAAGTTGAAATACACACAACATACCCGCGACTACATCAGGAATCTTCCTCATCCTGTTGAATCTGCAAAGCATAAAACCTATTCTGCGCTGTCTGCCACCCGCACTAGAAGAGGCACTCTGTTGAGTCGGCTGCTGAAGTGTTAGGCTGAGTTTGCTGGTGAATATCCTTACCCCTACCTGATGCCTTGGCATTCCCTCAACCTGATGCCTGACTTACCACATCCAAAACAGTTACCACTACCAGTCATACACCTTCAGGGATGGGATTTACCACACTTCTGACAAACCAAAAAGGTACGACCACTAGTGACACTACCCTGGGATTTAAAGCCTGGTGCACTATCTCTTTTCTCCTGTCTGAAGTTGGGTTCTGGGGTACTAGCAGGGGATGGGGCTGGATGTGGACCTGTTCTCCCTCAACCTGTGGCCTGACTTACCACATCCAAAACAGTTACCACTAGCAGCCATACACCCTCAGGGATGGTTCTTACGACACTTCTGACAAACCAGAAAGGTACGACCACTAGTGACACTACCCTGGGACTTAGAGCCTGGTGCCATATCCCCGTTCTCCTGTCTGAACTTGGGTTCTGGGGTACTAGCAGGGGATTGGGCTGGACCTTAAAACTTCTGACAGAACTGAGAGCGATTGCCACCATTTGACTTATGTGGAGACTAGTCCATACTGTATATTCTAGCCCTCTTACTCTCCCTAGCACTCTCCTTGACCTTCTCTTTCTCAATCAGTTGAGCATGAGTCATCAACCTGGAGATGTTCATCTCCTTGATCAACATACTAGTTCTATACTCCTTTACTATGGTCTCTTCAACACTTGTAACAAACTTGCTCATACGGTCCTAGGAGTCGGCCACCATAGATGCAAAATACTTGGAGAGTTGGGTAAACTTCAAGGAATACTCTTTCACCGACATGTTTCGTTGCTTCTGATTTATAAACTCCTGGACCTTGGCCTCCCTTAGCTCAAGTGGAAAGAACCTGTCCAGAAATACAACCACAAGCTTCTTCCAGTCCATTAGGCCTGCATCAACCCCTTTGTCATCCTTCCACTGCTTGTACCAAATCTGAGACACTCCTTTCAACGGCTAAGCGGCTAAGTATGCACTCTCCACTAGGCTGACTCCCATAATCTGTGCGCTATTCTAAACACCATCCATGAACTCTTGTGGGTCTTCCTCCATCCTTGAATCATAAAACTCAGGAGGATTCATCCTAGTAAAATCTTGGATCCTAGCTGCTATCGTATTCCCATTCGGGTTATAGCTTGTGCAATCTACTGCTCGACCTGAGTGGTCATGGCCTGAGCTAACACTTGGAAAGCACCCATGAACTCGGCATGAGAGACCTTCTCATTCAAGGTGTCTGCTCAAGCTGGTGGTACTTGCTGGCCTTCATTCCTGTCTTAAAACTAAAGGATTTAATAATTGAAAGAAATATGAAGTTGTCCTCGAAAGATGAGGACTCACCATACGTGTTGCTGAGCTGATCGAAAGTCGTACTAACCGCGGCTAAACGTCCGAACCTATATTATAGGATAATATAGTGCAAAGAGTATGCGTTCAGTACTTTGAATGTACTGAGTATGTGAAATATGCACGATAGGACTATAAACTGAACATGATAAGTCTGAAGTGCTGAGCTGAATAACTTGTACTAATGCAATGACCGAGTAGTAAAACCTGTAATTGATAAATGCTGAAATCTGAGATAACTGACTACAAGGTCATGCAACATCTGAGACTGGACTATGGGAGATACTAATAACTTACATATAACTTTAGAACTTATGGGGTGTTACACCATCTCTGCTCCAACTGTTTAGTACTTCCCTTGTGCTACCTGGCTTCACCCACCTGATTCATCTTAGGTTGATGAAGATTTTCCTTATCTGATCTGTCACTTACAATGTATAAAGATATGGTTGGTTGTCTTTGCCTGTTCTCCACCTGAGTAACATCTGGAGCATAGCTGGTACCCCATTCTTTTCAAATTATCCCATGTCAATACTGCTTCTTTGGCCACCAGCGATGTAAAGCATGCTACTTTGAAACGGAATCTTGGACTCTCCAGATCAGCTTCCATGGCAGCAGCACCCTTGATTCTTGGACAAGTTTTGTTCACTGTATGCATCTCTCACAGAAAATGTTTATTCCTTCGCCATTCCGGACTTATCTCCAGTAGTGACTTTGAACTGAGATAAGGTACTATATAATTCAGTTATTCCCAATTCCCAATCATTTAGAAACCTTCTGAAGGTATGCTCCGTCCCTGCTCCAACCATAATTCAGCCACTGTTGCATCATGTTGTTGTCATAAGTTGTAAATGTCTGGATATGTTTGTTTTAATGAACAATCCAATTCTCCTCCCAAAAAGATACTTAAGTTCCAAAAAACCGTTGCAAGCTTATGATTAAAGGAAAGGGGCTTGGCTAATGGTATTCTTGTGGTTTTTTAAACCAAGTTTTCAGCTGATTTTGATGTTTAATTTACCTATTGTTAAGCTCAGCTCAAACAATCTTCAAGTTGTCCAAAATGAGCTAATTTAGCTCCAGAAACTAGGTCAACCAAAATAAACAAAATTGTTGAGACTTTGTAGCTTTTACTTCCCTCCACACACTTTCATCCCTTGTCTGCAATTTCTCATACCTATTGAAACTCCCTGTAATCTGTTGATCATCCATGAGGGGGCTTGGGCACTGTGATTTGCTGGGCTTCACAGAGGGATATTGGTGAGGTTACAGGGAGTTCAGTAGCTGGAGCAGTTGAAGAAGGTGACGGAGGGGACAAAAAGCTAGTGGAACCATTAGATTTGTGCTCAATAATATTGACCCTTTAACCAGAGAACTATGTTGGTTTTTTCCTTTTCTAATGAGATGATGGTAAAGTGTGTTGAGTGAACTAGACAAGGAAGGGAAGTAAATTTTCTTTGACATTGTACTACTTATAGCCATTAATGGTAATAGGACCTCGGTGCGATTGTAGCATAATCTCTTGTTGGTTTTAACCTACTTCTAGTTCAAATACCACTTCGATTGTACTTCCTGAAGGGAGAATGAAAACACGTTATACACATGGTACTTGATGGGATTTATCTTTATAAAGCTTTATCAACTTTACTGTATTAGTGCTTCCTGATGAGATGTCTAACCCTCACCTTTTTTTGGTTCCAAAGGCCAACTATAGCAATTCCTCATCCTATTGAATCATATTCGCAAGAGTTTTACCTTTTAAATCTAAAGAATCATTACGTGATATAGGAAAGCTCCCAGGTGTTATGACTTGTAACGATCTCAGTTTTCAACTGTTAAATTCTATTATAAATTGATTATACAGTAATTGTTTTGGTTCATTTTACTATTGGTAGTAATTATCTATCTGATGGTTAGGTCATTGGTGATAGACACCTTAACTTATAACGGAACGATCGGAATGTTAAAACAACGGCTACACTTGTTTTCATTTCTCTTTCTTTATGTTTAGCCTTCATGGAGACACTACTATCTAGATTGTTGAGTAGATGTAGAACTCGGGGATATTTTACTCTTTCAATTCTTTTCACTTAATATTGGAAAAAATAAAAACACCAGCATACTGGTCTGAACTTTATCTTCTTGTCAGGATTTGATATTTCAAACTGACTGGTCTCTCATTTTTACAGCTTCCGGCTCCTGTCAATAATATGGAAATGCTTGTTACAGAGTAGCCTGGGACCTAATATGCATATCAAGCCAAAAGTTGGAGCAACTGGAGATATCATCTACTTCATCTATTCACTTCTTTTGAAGTGGGGATTAAGATTCCACTAATATATCATGTATAACGAGCTTATATTTGATGTATGCTTCTCTTCCTCCCCCACCTCCTGCCCTATTCCCCCAGTTTCCACGAAAAGATTAGAGGAAAATATCAGAACTAGACACAAAGAAATGGATAAAACTCTGTGGGGGAGTTGAATGTCAATTTTTAATCTGGATGATAAGAGTAATAACCATAGGAAATTATATTTGATGTATGTTTCTATTGTTACTTCGTATGTTGCTGCTGCAATGATAGATAACATAATACTTGGCAGGAATGTTTTCTCCCTTCCAAAACGAAATGTCTTTATGATTTTGTAGAAAATATGTTATAAATAAACAAAATGGTGCATAAGTCAATGGTTAATCGAAATTTAGTTTTCTTGTGCATTGTGTAAATGCTTGCATCCACCTTGAAGGACGCAGCACCCACGCGGGATGGAACACTAGCAAAGTAACATATATTTCCAATACCGAATACCGACACGATACATTATTTCCATACCAACACGGCAACACAATACATATATTACTCCATACCACCTACAAAAGGCAACAAAAAAGATTTTGTGGGTGTTGTAATCAAGCTACAGTCAAGATTTCATGGTACTTATTTTCTTCATTTGAGGTTAAACTTCATCTTATCTCTTTAATTTATTTATGAAATTTGATGTAATTAAGTGACAAGTTATTTTTTATAGTTTTGTTTTATTCATAATTTTATTGAAATGGATATTGGGCTAAGTGTAATATCTCTATTTAATGAATGAAGATAGTTTTAATTGATGATTATTTTTATTTTTTTATTCGTTAGTTATCTCTTAAAGATGAATGGGTCATAGTAGCTCTTGTATTGATTTAGATGACAATAATGATAAAGTAGAAATTATTAGGCCCAAAGAATTTATTGCCGCTTTTATTTTATTAAACAAAAATGAGATTTATTTTTGCAAATCGTCATTATTTAGTTGGATTAGAATGAAATTGCAATATATGTATGCTTAATTTTGACGTTAACTTTAAGAATAAGTAAAATAAAAAGATATAAAATGATTCAAAAAAATTATATTGTACCCTACAAGTTTAGATTTATTTTATGTTATTTGATTTTCTTTATAAGAAATGAATATTTGGTTTTAACATTAGACGAACTTTTAAGTACATTAAAAATATTTGTTTCGATTAAGAATGTTGTTGCACATCTTTTTGAGACATTTAAAAGAAACCTAAGGATGCACTGACGCATCTTGTCCAAAAAATATAATTAATTCTCATTAATTTAAAGTAAGACTTGTAGACAAAATTATTAGGTGCAATGCAAAGAAACATTTATGCCTCTAAATGTCGAAACCAAGAATGCAGTAATGAATTTAGGTTGAAACCAATAAAAGTTCAACAATAAAATATGTGAGCAAACCGTTGGCATGTAACAACTTATCCAAAAATAATTTAAGATAGTATAATTTGATAAAAGCGACCGTGCTAGAACCACGGGACTCGAGGGTGCCTCATACATTTTCCTCGGTTTACAAAATTTCTTACCCGTATTTTAATTTTGTAGACCAAACTTAAAGAGTCATTTATTTTTTATTAGAGACTAAAAAAATGTGACTGGGAACACCATAACTCAATTCCAAGTGACAACTTCAAACATAATAAAATAGTCCATTTTCAATACCGTCACTTAAATTGGAAAAATTCGGTTTCAAAAAGGGGTGTGACAATGTCAAATAGACAATTTTACCTTATATTTAGAACTTTAGAATAATATACAAAGATTTAGTCATCTTTAAACAAACAAACGTAGTAAATGTTTTCAAGGTGAGATTGAATCAATAGTTGTTGATAGAATGACTGTTTAACCCGTTCATATTAAATATAAAAAAATTGTCTTGAAGAGTTCATCACTATATGGATTCACAACCTGAGATCAATGAAAAGATGAGAGTAATTCTGATTAATTGGTTGATTCAAATCCACCACAAATTTGAACTTAATTGATAAACACTTCACATCACAGTCAACATTATTATCATGCGAGATGGCATCATGCTTATAACCTTCAAATATGAAGAAATTTGGCTCATTGAGATATATGTCCAAAGCTTACATCAAATAAATAGAAAAGTCTTTCGCCATATGAGTTGCTTATGACTTAATCTAACAAATTTTATGAATGGACTAATTTGATTTTTCAGGCCATAAACTCTTTGTGCATTTCAGAAAAAATTAACACTCATGACCAGCTGTTAACCATAGAGAAACAAATTCTTGAACAATTTGAATAGTATCTAAGAATCCCAAACACCTTAAGTGTTCCTTGTGCATTTAATATTTTCACTTTTTTAAAATTTATTTGCTATATTTTTATTTGATATGAAGGTTATGAAAATAAAGAAATTTTAAAATTTTGTGATATTAAATCGTAGATATATCAAATTTATCAAAATGTGTATTAATTTTGAATGTGACCCACATTTTGATAACGTTGAATTTTGAGGAAGCAACTAATAGTACAAGTATTTTACCGTTACGTACAACCATTCATATCCTCTTTCTATGGAGGCATCAAGAACAATGGGCGATTTCAATCCAAGAATTAATAGCATCACTATAAGCTCGTGATGCTATGAAGTTTAGTGCGCAATATAAATTTCCTTTTTTGTCAATCTTCGGATCAGATTTTCTCCATCGGCAATCATCACTGATTTGCAATGAAACAAATAATGTTAAAAGAGGAAGTATGAAAGTAAAACTACTGGGGATCAATAGACTAGTCGAATACAAACGTCAAACGCCATATAATTAAATTTTTTCCTTGTTATCGTTGCAATTAATTCTTTTTGAAAATGTTCATATTTCTTTGTAAGATTTCAAGAAGTTTTTTTAAAGAAGTGAGTTAGTAAAATTATCTTTTTATTTATAATTTTTAATATGCATGTATAAAGGAAAGTGATCAACTAATATATATAGAACATACAAGAAGTATAATTTTTCTCATATTAATATAATCATCATCATATCATATTCATTCATATTCATATCATATATTATTAAAAGTGGGAAGAATCCAAGTCAAAAGTTGAATTAGCATTTCACCCTCCAACTAAATAAAAAATGAAAACATTAATTAATTAATTATTAAACAATAATCCTATCATATTAATAAATTCTTATACTAGTTAATGCTAATCATCATATAGAGTTAGCCGTCACTTCAAATTCGCAGAAGTTATGACCTTTCCATCTCCTATACGGCTACACATCTTTCCAGAAATCAAACGTCTGAAATAGATATTCTCAGTAATTAGGATTCATATACATCACCTTCTACTTTCATGCTCTCGGGCCTGGTATATTTTTTCTTTCTATTTTGTTTGATTAAATCTTGAGTAATAGTAGATGATAACAAATCGTTGTTTTTCCTATTTCTTTTTCCTTTTTGGGACTATATCATGTTAACTTATTTTTATTTTTCTCTCATGCATATTAGGACTTGGTACAATTTAGATGGTGTCAAAAAGTGATCGAGCTGTTATGTGTCATGATGTAAATATGAATTTCTTTAAAATTATGTTGTTATGTGCCATGATGTTAATATGAATTCCTGTAAAATTATGTAGATCAGTCTATTTAACTTTGCTTCGATGTTCTTTTTCCTACTTAACTCTCTGTTCTCAAGTAAATTTAGTATTTTCGTTAGCTAGTGTGCTTCATAATCAAGAATTTCACTATGAATTGAAGGAAGAAAAAACATTTTCGTCTCAACACTTTCTTTCTTCACCATCAAACACAATTTCTTGGACCCTTGGTTATGAAAGCAATAGAAACACGGAGACAAGAGAAGAGAGATTTCTTGTTCTTTCAGTAAGTTTGTTCAAGTGTACACAATATTTGTTGATTCACTCAGACTGCCTCCTTTTGTCAATGAAATGGCTTTAGCTTGGAGAGTCGACTCAACAATGAAAAATCTGGGTGGATCGAGTAGATGACAAATATTTATAAGAATGGAATTCCTATGTTTGAAAGAGCATGAGCAAGGAGAGGGAAACTGCTTCATTGCCTTCACTTCTATTGAAATTGTCCAACAAAATATATAGTGGTTGAATGGTGATATTTCCTTTGATTTCCTCTCCAAATCAAACAAAAATAGTGTGCTTTCTTGAATTTAATACTCTCTTATTTATACACACAATGAGATTAGATGTTTACGTCAATTTTTTCCTTTTTCTATTTTCCTTTTTCTTGACACTCTTAAATTTTTTGTTTCTTCTGTAGCTACATATTCTAGCAATTCCATAATAGTAATGAATCCTTTGTTTACAAATTCAAGAAATTGGGACATAATATCTACTCCTTTAACAAGTATGTATATGTATATAGTCATGTGGATGAATATATAATTTTTAATTACAAGTGAGGATTTTATACTGGCTACAAATTTTATATAGTAATAGGGGACAAATGTGCAATGAACGTTCCTTAAACTAGTTATATTATAAGTGGGAAGCCTCCAAGTCAAAAGTTGAATTACGAAAATGTCCTTAAAATGTCATAATATTGATAAACAAAAATGTAAATACACGTTAATTATTAATAAATATTATCATATTCTATTAAACACTATTCTTATATATTTATGGACAAAAATATAAATACATAATAATAATAATATAAAATGAAAAACCGCATAATATTACTTGACATGGATTAATATAAATACAATGAATATTTGTATTATTAAATGATAGAAGAAAATCAAAAGTTTTGCAATATTTAAAACAATCTCTTCAGATACTCCCACTGCGCAAAGCTATAAAAAAAAATTCAATGAATTATATTCATAAATTATCTTAAATGCTAAGTAATAGCTACAATAAACATTGTTGCAAAACTTTTGATTTCCTTCCATCATAATTAGCATAAATAAATGATGAATTTTCTACTTGATAAATTATTTTATTTTATATTGATGGACATGTAGCAT